ATTTCCTCACTTTGTTGCTCGAGAGCCTCTTAGGAAATTAGATTTCTTGGCCTCTGAAAAAAAGCGCTGGAGACAGTGAGTATTGTTTCCATGGAAACAATGCCGGTGCCCGATAATTCAATAATTAATCAACAGGGTGATCAAAGGGTAGCATCTTTAACACACGTGCTCAATGGCAAAAAGAAACAAAAATCCATCAGCTATTTGTTTCAGATAAAAAAGGAGCCATTTTTTTCCCATTGGCTTTGGATTAGTGGATCATTTCATGGTAGGCAATGTGGAAAATAGGGGTTTGATTTATATTTGAGCACAAAACATGCTTTGGTCCTGCTGCATGGCCAACATGGCAACATCTTCCAGCCCCTCTCTAATAAAGCTGTTGCTATAACTCTGACAAATCAGCAATGGGAGCGAAAATGAAGAAACGAGAGTTAATGAGTAAGTAAAGTAAAGTCATGGGAAAACTACAAGATTAACTAAGTACCTATTAACACACACACACACCATTGACAAGACACTCAGTCTAATCTAGAGTGTTCCCTCCAAGGCTTCACGTTCCCTTTAGTTTTACAGTTTATCCGTCTGCTCGAGACGAAGGAGTGGATGAAATGACAGAGGTTTTCTCAAAGGACAGGAGAGCAGGCTTTTGCAGGTCACAAACAGCCTCGGGGCGAGTTGTTGCTCTCACACAGACACACACAAAAAAACCACACGTCTGTAGACACGAGCAGTTATTGCGCCGTGTGTGTTCCTCGTAGGCAAGATCTACTATACCCGTTGCTCTGTTTCCAATCAGGGAAATAAAAAGAACTTTAATGACCTAGGACCCATTGAGGCAAGAATGAGGTTATGAAGAGATATGAAGGGTTTTTTTTTTTTTTCATTCACATCCCCTCCGTCATCCACCTACCTCTTTCTCGTACTGCACCTGCAGATTCACTTGGGCTTTGCAGACAAAAGCTTTTAAATTACAAGCTGGTAGTTGGAGGACAATGTTCATGCAGTCATGCATGAAAAGGCTATTAAATTATCTCTTTGGTCCAAATATCTTCCTATTACAATATATGCATACGGAACACCGACACAAACTTAATATTCCCCACAGTTGCACACACGTGACACACATTCAGGCACTTAAAAATAACACAGTGCAACCTGCATTAAGCAGCTTTAGCAAAAAAATAAATTAAAAAATCCAAAAGTAATATCCAGGAGAAACTAACACTAATGATCCTCAACATAATCTCCTGAATAATGCCGTATTCTATTTGTTCCACTCAGCTCTCCTCAGCGATGTGCTCGGCCCTCTGACTGAAAATGTGCAGTCAGAAGTCTGGGTGTATTCCTGGACTCCTTTTTCAATTTTATTAAACAATTCAGCAGCTTTGTGAGGGCCAGCTTTTGTCAGCTCAGAACCAACTGAAACTGATTTTATCTCTCAAGGACCTGGAAACTGTTATACATGTATTTATGAATTTGAGCGTCTGGACTACTGTAATTCCCTGTATATGGAGTTGACACAGTCCAACGTTTCCTCACTACAGTTAGCTCAGAATGCAGAAGGAAAGACAGCACATCATCCTGGTTCTGGCTCATTTGCATTGGGTCCCACGAGAATACAGAGTTTAGATTGGTTTATAAAGCCTTTAACGGTTTAGCTTGGCAATACATTGCCAATATGTTAACTCTGTTTTCTGCCCCGAGGTCACTCACAGTTCCTCCTCTAAGTCTTCCTCTAACACTTCAAAACCAAAGGAGACATGGCCTTTTCAGTTACTGCCTCCAGCCCCTGGAACAGTCTCTCATTCAACATTAAATTCTGTCTCACCATTGGCAATTTCAAATCTAAATTAAAGGCTCACCTTTTTTCATTGATTTTAGTTCTTCCTGAAGCAGCCCGAGTCATGTCCACTCTGCTGTTTTGCTGTTTTGTATCGATTGGTTGCCTGATTTCACTCAGTTTTCTGGTTTACTCTTTTTGCTGTTACAGTTCCTCCTGTTTTTAGCCCACCTGCCCATATGCTTGACTTTAACAATCCTGTTAATATGTCTGTCTTCACATGTGTTCATGCTTGTCACCGCCTCCAGTCATTTATATGCACTATTGCATGTCATTAACTTTGTGTTATCTCTCTGCCATTGGTTTCTGCTTGTCTTCTCTGTCCTTGTACCTCTCTGCTGGCTCTGAAGCTGTACAGTCTGATCCGCAGCTACTTATCTCACCAATCTGTCCAGCGTTTACGTTCTCTTTTTTTTGTTTTCTGCTTGTCTTTCTCTCTCCCTTTTATCCTCACCTCAACTGGTCGAGGCATATGGTCGCCTCCCTGAGCCTGGTTCTGTTGGGGGTCTTTTCCTGTTAAAAGGAAGTGCTTTCTCTCCGCTGTGGCTAATATGCTTCCTCTAGATTCATTCTCATGCATTTCTATGCATAATTTTGAGGGATCTTAACTTTAATTTTTAAATAAGTCAGTTAAATCGGCATAATTGATACTACCGCAGGGTCTTAACCATACCATCAAGTTTAGTCAGGTATTTTATAGAATTTTGTCAGGTTTTAGTCATAATATTTAAATTATTCCACTAAATTCACACCATAAATAACACTGTAAGGTGTTAAGCTTGATATTTAAATTTGTTTGGTAAATTTGCAACACTAATCTTTTTACTCTACTACAAAACACTTTGGCTCAATGGCTACTGCTTTAAATGTGCTCTGGAGATAACGGTGTGACTGATGTGTTACAAATGCGCAAATGTTTCACAACATTAATCACTACCTGTGGAATGTCCAACATTAATACACACTTTCGCCGTAGTATAATTCAACAGTTTGTGAGAAAAACAAGTATCTGGGTCTCACTGACACTTGGACACAAACTCTAAACAGCAAATCAAATGTAAAATGAAAGAGGTGAACTAGGATGCTCATTGTTAGTGATAGCTGTGGTACCAGCAACTCATTTGACTTGATGCGAATATAAAACATATTGTTGACTGAAGAGAACAAGAGCTACTGCAGGTCAGAAACATGCATATAACATATTTTTTTATGGATATGTCAGGAGAGACTAGGTGGGAAATTTCTGTACTTGTAATACCTATTTTTACATTCTGTTAACACATTTGTGTGATGTGAGAATTCAGCTCAGCTAGTTAATAAATAGCTCAATGTACACATTTCTAACATTATAGGATTTAATTTAGTTTATTGACGTTTATCGCTGAGTCAATTCTATGTCTTTCATTAGAAAAGATCTTTCTTTTCGTTCTCTGTGTCTTTTCTCCGAACATTTAATCCCAATAAGATACCACCCTGTGATCTACTGTCTCCTGTGAATTTGCTCTTCATCAGCCTTACTTGGTTGAAAAGTTGCACAGGTTAAAAATGTCACATAGAAAGATCCGAGCGTATGGTCCGCATCATTTTTACCTTCCAGCAAATGCAAGATTGTGATGTACGTCAGAGTAAGCTGTCGCTAAACAGCTTCATAAACAAATTATCCCCGCTGAGAGAAGAAAAATGGATTGTGTGGTCTCTGTAAGAAGCCTCTCTTTTCTCTCGCTCTCGTTCTGCTCCTCAGTATGTGAGCATCTGCACGTCGCTCCCCAGTATATTTGCTATTAAGAGGGACTAAGCATTTCATTACAAGTCTACCCAACTCCCACTGTGTCATTGAAGCCAGAAGCCAGTGTGGCTTTCTTTCTTAGAGATACTAATAACAGAATCAAAGAAGGGAGCGCGTGTTTGCGTGTGAGAATGTGTGTTTGTGTTTCTGTGTATTATAGTAATACTGATGTAATCGCAGGCTCAAGCCCAATTAGCCTAGAGGGTAACTCTGTAATAATCCTTACCCCTGGGCATAATGGCCTATTAAAGCAGCAGTGGACAGAATAAATGAGTGTGTCTAAGGAAAGAGAAAGAGCGAGGGAAAGAAAGAAGGGGAGGGAAGAAATCAGAGTGAGGGAGAGAAGGGAGGATAAGAGGGGTAGGAGCGAAAGAAATGTAATGAAAGGGGCCACTGAAGACAGGCTTGTTGGGAATAAAATTATTTTCATCCGCCGCAGCAGAAACCAAACCAGCCCATCCAAATTAACTAACACTCAGATTCGGCGTCCTTAAAAGATGCATTCATTTAGCACTTGTCGTAAACATTTCTAGTCGTAATGATTTTTTGTTTACTTTGTAAACTGTAGGTCATGTCTGAGGAAGTGGGAAAAATAGGATCTCATTTCTTCGGCATCAAAGTATTCCTTGTGTGTTTTATTTGTTGGAAACTATTTTCTACCATTAGACCCTCTATTAGTATTGCCGGGATTAGGGCCACATAAATCAAGACCATGTCAAAGCCAGAGAGCGTGGAGGAATGAGATCAAGGCCAGACCAAGAGGAATATCTTAACTGAGACTGTCCAAAATTGTTTTGATGTGACAAGTGTGATAACTTATGTGTGTAATGCTTCAAAAGTGGGGAAAGCGATGCATCTTGGATGTTAAAAATCGAGAAAAAATAGAACTGATGTGCCAAACTGGCTAAATTAAGATATTAATGAGGAAAAGAGAGGTTAATTTTAGGTTCAGGAAATGTTAAAACTTAGGCTATGATGTCTGCACCAAAAACTTTGCTTTTAATTTTGCTGTTGTTCAGAAATTACTTCCTTTCTTTACTCAACCAAACAGTACTGGTGTGCACTAACTGTCACTCCATATCTTCATGACACTTCATGCTAATTGAATTATTAAAAAAGGAGAGAATATAGTACAATGATAGGCATCTTGACTCACTCATAATTACCTGTTGCTCATATAAATAGCATCACTATGTTGTTTCCATGCAACTTCTGACAGACTTTTATCATCTTGTTAAGTAAAAAGCAACAGTGCTGTAGTGTACTAAAGTGTCTTATTGCACAACTTGATAAGAAATGTAATGCTTAACGAAAGAAAACTTTACATATAAATCGCCTGATTCTTTATGCGACCGCATTAGCAGACAACCATACCTGATGATAAGTCCACCCGGTAGTTTTTGGCCGCCTTCGTCACGTTGATATGAACTGTAATTTTGCCTTCCTCGAGAGAGATCTCCAGCGTGCCATCATCGAGATTGCTGAAGAGAAGGAGTCCGTCGGGGTTCCAGGTGCGAAACTGGAAGCCCACAGACACCGTGTTGTGATTGGCTCGGCCTGGCAGCTGCAGGAAGCTGGTAGCATTGAAAAAGACCGGGAAGGTGTGGGTCTCGACACAAGCGAAAGACAGGTTGCGCTGTAGGGACACAGATATGGAAAAAAGAGGGAGACCAACAAAGAGACATAATTGGTCTTCAAAGAGAAAAGTAAAAAGCAAAGCTAATCACTTGAATATGTGATGTTATTTAAATGTTTTAAATGTTTTAGATGCCCCAAACACTTTCAAAAATTATGTACTTATTAAGCAGATTTTCGCTGCTTTGAATCTCGTCTCTGCATGTTTACCTTCAGATGTTCCTGACTGAAGCTAGATTCAAAGACTGATGATGCCTGTGCACATCACTAAATGTTCTCTTTTTTGGCTCATCCTGCCTTTGAATCCAGGGTTAAACAGTGACCTGGGTGATTTCTGTGCGCGATGCAAAAACAAACAGAATTGTGGAATTTAGGCACTAATTACCATTGAGCTTCTCCAACCTTGTGCTCTTAATCAAATCATTAGCAAACACACAATACTGAGCTGCCTTACCAACTATAGATGATTACTGATTGCATTGGTGTGTGTGTCTTTCGAAAATCCAAGCGTGGATCTGCTTTGATTAGAAATGAATGGCTGTGTGAGTCATCAGAGGGAATTAGCGGTGCGGCTTTAATGAACTTGATTAGTGCCTCCATTTGTTCAATCAGTTCACTAGAGATCGAAGGAGATACACTGGCTGGCCACAGCTGAGGAGGAACCGGCAGAGTGTGGAGATCTAAGACTTCGCGGTCTATCAGCAGCTGTTCAGTACCTGATTTTAGGGATTTCGAGAAAACATTTAATGTGCTGTTACATCCAGCAGTCATCCACATTGTTGAACATTTGATGGAGAGAAGCAAGGCATTCGAGTATTTTATGCGCCCGAAAACAAACGGTTCTGCAGTCATTACAGTTAAATTCTATCTTTGAAGGTTGCAACGAAGTGGCGGGCATGAAAACAACAGGAACACAAAGACAGAAAGGAAGCACATGGAGGGGCCACTGACAGGTCAGTTGTATCTGATTAATTATGAATATGTTAAACTACTTTGGTGCACTGAATAATACGACCCTTCGTTCAGGTCAACTACAGATCTAGTGTGACAATAATGAGCATGTTCAGGATTCAACTGCCTTTGGAAGCGTCGTTTCACACTGTTTCGATTCTGAGCTGTGTTTAGTACATGTGTGCATACGAGTGCGTCTCCATTGGAGTGTGAATGCACGTTTTCCTTACAAAACTGGAGGTGTCCAGCTTCTTTCGGCGGGCCAGGTCTGTAATGTTGTCTCCATTGTAGTTGATGCTCTCCATGCAGCCTTTAAAGTTTTTCCTTCCTCCTCCCACTGGCTTCCCACTGTACGGCATCCCCCCAAAACTCAACTAGAAAGAGACAAAGAGCAAAGAGGTAAAAAGAGGTGAAGAGCGGGATACGAACACATTAAGAATTCATTTACAGTCAATTAGCTTCTGTTGATACTCCTATTAAATACCAATGGGGAGTGAAAGAAGCACAATCTCTGGTTGCAATAATTACTAAAATACTATTCGTTGACTTTTGTAAGATGTCAGGATGACCACTAACAGATGAAATGGAGAGTACATGGTTCAGTATTTGGACAGTTACATTTCTTTTTGGTTCTTTAGCATCTGTGCTGCAGAAGAGTCAGTTTGAAATAAAATAATGAATATGTGTCAAGTCTCAACTTTAGTTTGAACACTTTTACACAGATGCTGAAAGAGCGCTGTGTGAGATATGATATCTTTTAACATATAGTGCCCAAATTGGAAGGCTTCAAATGTAATTGGCTTGACACTTGGCTACCAAAAGTTTCATGGGCAGCTGGTTGTCATTTCAATGTTAGTTCATGCACAGGAAAACTCACACGTGGCTCAGCGGCTGCTGAGAGTTGACTGTCAGTATGAGGAATAAAGAGGTGGCCATGCAAGTGAAGAAGATAACAAGGACGTAGGTGAGCGTGTTGCTTTGACAGGGATCAAAAGAAAACTTTGTCACCAAAACCTCAGAGGACTGACCACAAGACACAAAGCCTTTTCTGGGACAAAGTTCTATGAACTCATGGAACAAAAATAACCTCAGTCAAAATGGAAAGAAGAAAGTGTTGAGAAAAAAAAAAAAAAGGAACAGATCACGACCCAGAGAACCACGTCATCTGTCAACCCCGGTGGTGCTTCTGTTATGGCTTGTGCTTGTGCGTCTGCCAATGGAACTGGCACACTGATATTTATAGATGATCAAAACTGATTGGACAGCATTTCATCTTTCAGCAGGACAACGATCCTAAACATATGGCCAAACCCTCCAAAGAGCTTTTTCAGACTGAAAAGGTGGAATATTGTTTACTGTCCAAATCAGTCAAATGATCTTTGCTGACTGAGTGGTAATCTACTTGCTGAAAATCAGATTAAAGGTTAAACTGCTTCTGTCCTGGACTGCTCCCTAGACTCCATAGAGGAGGTGGGTGAGATGAGAATGTTAGCAAAGCTCACATCCATCATGGACAGCCCCTCTCACCCGCTGCATGACACTGTGGGGGCTTTAAGTCACTCCTTCAGCAGCACACTCAAACATCCTCTCTGCAAGAAAGAGCGCTACTGCAGGTCATTCCTACCAACTGCAGTAAGACTGTACAACATCTTTTCAATGTAAATACTGTTTTTATTCATGACTGCTATCTTCTTGTACTTTCTTTCTATATTTTTGGATGCTGCTGTGGCGTGTAAATTTCCCCCAATGGGGGATCAATAAAAAAATTATTCTGTTCTATTCTAAAGGCAGAAACCCAACAACAATCAAGAGCTGAAGGGGTCTGCAGTGAAAGCCTTAAAGAGCATCACCTGGGCAGATACAAAGCATCTGGTGATCCTCGTGGGTCAAAAACCTCCAGCAATCACTGACTGTAAAGTATATTCCATAAAACAATAAATAAGGTGATTTTGTCAGACTTCATGCAGTAGCCTGTGCAGGTATTTTTGAGCCCCTAAACTGTGTGCACTGTGTAATGAAAAGGTTATATCTCACACACAGTTGTTTCAACGTTGACATAAAGCTGCGCAAATTAAAACTGAGACTTGGCACTTTAATGGAGTGTCCATTATTTTATTTCAAATTGAAGTTGCTGAGGCATGGAGCTTAAGAACAGAAATGTGTGCCTGTCTAAATACCTATGGTCTGAATTGTACATTTTGAAAGGACAAATTTTCTTTGCTTTGTGCTACCAGTCAAAGACAAAAGACCTCTTATGATGACGAGGAAATAAGAAGACACGGATAATTTGACAGGGGTTGGAGCCTAAATATATACATAACCATTTCTGAAATTCTGGCGGCATCATATTATGTTTACAGCAAATATTGTAACACCAAATTTAGGCCAGTTTGCTGCAAGATGGCACAGAAGAATAAAACAGCTCCGATCCCTTGTCACTCCTCTGATTATATATACATATGCAGAGCAACTAGTGCCAGCCCCATGCAGTATGCATACCCCACACAATACTGACAAATCTGAAATCACATGTAAGCTGACCACTGGGTTAGTGGGCGAAAGCATTTAAGGAAGGAAGCAGGGGTTTGTGGCGAACAGATGCGATGAGAGGAGAATTGAGGTGAGGAGACAGAGGCTAATAAACAGGCATCTGGTGGGAAGCGCTGAAGGACACAAGACTGATGAAAATGTAAACTGCGTTTCATATTTTTCTGCAGTTCTACATGTGTTCATTTTTTTTCCCCTTTCTTTCAGACATCGCTCTGAGCCCTGAAGGAAGCCAAGATGATGGAGGGCGGTCTGCAATTACCAGTCGATGTGTCTGTCTGTCTGTGTGTGTGTGTGTGTGTGTGCGAATGTGAGTCGGTGTCTGCGCTGTGTATGTGGGCTGTGGTGACGCTCCAGTAGTCTTAGTAATTACTGCCAAGGGTAGACACAAATGCACCCGGATATTTAGTCCACGGGCTTAAATGGGAGCTGAAGACACACAGATGTGCGCGCACGCAAACATGCAAACACACGCGCACGAGGAAGCGTGCGGACTAAATAGAGTACAGTGGTGCACTTTGACTAAAAGCTGGTCACAATTTTGCGATCTGTTGAGATACTTAGGCAATAACACTGCCAGGATTCATTTAGGGCTCACCACAGATGCACCACACACACTGACACACACACACACACACACACACACAAACCTCCTGGTACACCCTGTTGTATAGATTTCCCTGAAGATCCCTTAATTCAACAGCTTCAGTTTAATTGGACTGTGGTTTGTCCTGCCCCATTTCTCAGTATCCTACTTAACACTGGAATAGATCAGCCATATCAGCAATACCTAGTAAAGGTCACACACTTACACACGAGCGTGTCAATATAAACACAAACACACAAACGCACGCATATAGCCACAAATGGACTCACCGCACACACTCACATTACACACAAATGTATTTCCCACTCATATATATTCCACAATCAATTTCCTGTTTTAAGTATTATTAGCTGAGCTCTTTGCATTCCATTACTGGCTGATGCTGATTATGTGAGTTTTATGGATTAGAGCTAGAGCATAGTTTAAAACCAATATCTAATTTCCTGTGTGATATCAATGTACTGTACTGACCAGTGATGAGTACTCTGCATGCAGCTGCAAATGAGTAACTTGTATAAGTAAAGTTAATGCAGTAATAGTATCGATAGCTGCAATAGCATCACAAAGACAGGTTACTATCAAGGATATACATAAATAGAAGACTTGCAGCAGTTTGGAAGGGTTTAGATTGTATCTGAGAAAAACTCACATTAACAGTTAGAGGACTGAACAGCAGTACTGCCCTTAAACCCAAATTCACAGTTGTCTTGAAGCCTGGGATTCACCTCCATCATTAGGTTCCCAAATACAAACACGCAACATCTCAAACATTAATGTAGCAAAGCCTGCGAGCGAACTCAGCTTTTGTTATGGAAAGGTTTACGAAGAGCATGAGTAATACCCCCTCCTCAATTAGAATAAAATCGAATAATTTATTTTGAACGGCGCTGAACCCCCCCAGAGAAGGAAAAATGAACTAGGGGGTGGCGTAAGTGTCGTTGTGTGCATTCAGGGGGCGGGTTGATATATGTCTAATGCAACTGAGGGCACAAGCAAGAGACTGAGTAGCACATGAAGCCAATAATGCCAGATTGATCGGGGCATGAACAGGGTGATTATATTTATCATGGCTCATGAGCTGCTTTGATGTGTTGTTCTGAGCACCTATGCGTAACTAGTGTGCGTGGATTTAGTGTCAGCGCAGCAATTCTCAATGACCAACTGGAGCCCTGAGGACATTCGGCTCAGCATTCGCAGTCTGCGTACAAACATTAGCATGAGTTGCATAATGCCATAGTTCTGAAGCACAATAAAATCCACATTTTGCATTGAGGTTGCTTCATTATTTAACTGAAATGGGCAGCCTTGTTGTTAATACTCAACCAATAACAGGTCTGATACAGACTCTGCCTTAATCAAACCAAGTAGCATTTTAAGAATCAAACAGCAGTGGATTTCAAAACGTGCAACAAACAGAAAGGTGAAAAACTCAGTGCTCATAAAGTGAAATTTATGATTCTGGACGGATCTATGTACAGAACTCTGCCAATACAGCCACCAAGATTGCTCCATGTCTGAAATAAGAGATGACCTGAGCAGGTGGAAACACTACAACTTCATTGCTACATTAGCCCTCATTTAGCACTGTGTAACCTAATCAGAACAAACAAAGTCTTCGCCATCTTTCCAAGCTGGCAATACTGATGAAAAGTGCATTAGAACTGTGTGAGCACTGTGGCTGGCCTTGTGCCTGCATTAATATAAGGCCTTGTATGCTGCTTAGGGCTCAGTCTGTCATAGCAAGACCTGTCTCCACAGAGCTGTGTTAGTGCTGTGGAATGATCTGACTGCACCTCATTATCATGCAAATCTTTGGTAAAACATGAGATTTTCAGTGTGTGCATGCTTGGAGGTTTCTACTGTTGTTTCTCGTAGTGAGGAAGATTTTGAAAACAGTAACATGTAGATAGCTGAAGAGGTGGCGAATGCACGGCTGAAGTAGCTGACTTATATCTGAGGTCAACATCCAGTAAGTCACATTACAAAGACTAAACACACATCCATCCATCCATTATCTGCACACTGCTTCATCCTCAGTAGGGTCGTGGGGGGGCTGGAGCCTATCCCAGGTGACTCAGGGTGAAGGCAGGGGACATCCTGGACAGGTCGCCAGTCTACACTTAGAGACAAACAACCAAGCACACTCACATTCACACCTACGGACAATTTAGAATCACCAATTAACCTCAACATGTTTTTGGACTATGTGGGAGGAAGCCGGAGAACCCGGAGAGAACCCACATTGCATGGGGAGAACATGCAAACTCCCCGCAGAAAGGTGGCTTCACCAGGAAGCGAACCGGCGACCTTCCAGCTGCGAGGCAATAGTGCTAACCACCGAGTCAAACAAACAAACTTGGCTTGAATGTTGGTCTGTGATTCGAGAACTTGTTAAACCAAGAACACATTAGATAAGCATGGTACTTCACAGATGCCGTGCTGTTACAATTAACAACTACAGGTGGTTGAGAAACCTGTTTGATCTTCATATAGCAGCAAATACTCTGTATAACAGGCAGCTGCTGATGTCCCATGTCTTGGGCAAAGCTGAAATAACGGAATAAATCATCTGACAATTTGGATACTGACTTGTTCTATGGTCTTCCACTTGTTATTTATAAATGTATTCACCCACGACTGCCTACCAACGTACAGCTGTTATGTCATTTGGCCACCCTCGTGAGATTTTTTTCCACAATGTCAAGCTGGTATATCTGCGCATATTTAAGTAGCAAACATGCTTTCCACGGATGTATACATGGCATATTTCCCTGTCACCTCCTCTGTTTGTCAGCATATGTATTCCGCATGTGATTAGATTTATGGGTTGGATTCATTCCATCATTTATTCCCCGTGGGAGACTACCATTCTCTATCTGTGTTCCTCACATTCCTGTCTGTATGCTGAGTACACTTTACCGCTCACCTCGTAGTCCAAATCGAGGTGGTCGAACTCTCCATTCGTCCTGAAGTGCTGAGTGTGTCTGTCCAAGGTAAAGTTGACATTGCGGCGGTAGCGTTCAATCACAACTGAGTGCCAGTGATTGTCATCCAAGAGACTGCCGGTGGTCACAGAAGTGTGACCCAGGATAGAGCCGTACTGGTTACTGCCTGTAATAAAGATTCTGATATTGTAAGTTGCAACAAAAAAAAAAAAGCAGACACTGGACACCGCAAACAACTAAAAAAGTAATTTAATATGTTCAATAAGGACACGTAGACACAAATTTGACAGGTGACTTCTGTGAGGGTCATTCCTTTGCTCTACGTTTCTACACCGTGCATCATTTACCCACCCAGGTTTATTTGCAGCAGCAGCTTGGCCCTGCGAAGCTCCAGGGTGATGTAGTCTCCCTGCTGGCCCTCCCCATGGAGAATCACACCCTCACTTTCTGATGTCTTAAACCTCAGCGCGATCACATCCTTAATGATCTTCATCTTCTTCACCTGCGCAGATTTTAATGAACACCAAAACAAACAAACCAAAATAAAACCCCACAGGTTTGTTCACACCACAGGTGGCTCATCTTTAATTTAAAAAAATGCAGACAAACTAAAAACAACACTTTATCCATTTTTTTTTATTTTTTTACTTTACTTTTACTTCTACAAAACAAAAGGACCTTGACATTGTTTTCTGGCTGCCTGCTAAAAATCTGCATCAAACGACTTATTTACCATCATTTCTTGTTGTATTTTTTGTTTTTTCATGAACTAGAGTGATCATGACAATATTGCCTGTCATATATTCAAATAACACACATCAATAACATAGAATCATCCAGTACCTTAAAGCGATATGAGATTACTCCCTGCCCATCAAAGTTGATGACATCCGCCCCTAAAAGAGACACGACGACAGTGACAGTAAGAAACAGAGAAGGCATGATCAAAAGAGATAGTGTAAACTAAATAAACTATGACTGCAGAATTAGTTTGATTACAAAATCAATTAAAAACACAAACTAAACGCACGCACACTGAACAATCACCACAGTAGCACAAAGTTTAGTCAGGTGTGCTATTAACAGATGAACATTTAAGAGCCTGTTAGAATTCAATATCTTATTGCAAACATAATTGCTGCCTTTAATATCACCATGTGAATGTGTAGGAGGGTTGTGCATTAAAAAATGTCACCCGGTATGCGTTTGTCACACAAGGCATTTTGACGTGCCACAGTATGAAACACACAGGTGTAAATAATACAATTATTGATGGTTAAATTTAATTTAGCTGCCTCAGTCTGTACATGTTGGCTCGCTGACACGCTGTCATGGCTTATTGGTACTCTTGAATAGAATAGATGCAGTGTTAATGTGATTAGCCACCTGTGCTTTTCCTACTATCACAAGTCAAAATGTCAAATAAAGTTTAATTGCTTGAGTATTTGCCATGCCACCGCATATGCAAAGTAGACTCTGGTGTAAAGCGGCGCTGCATTAAAAGTATTGTATTACTGTAGTTTTTTTTTTTATTGTGAAAAGTGAGACTTGTACACATTAAATAATACTTTTGTGAATGACTGATTTATATTCTTCGATCAGTGACAGAAAGACTAAGCTGATACACTAAGAATAGCATTAGAAAAAACAAGAGTATTCATTATATAAAACATTTAACAGAAGCTTAAACTTTTTTAAGGTTAAAAATTACTTTAATCTAAGAAAGTCCTGCAGCCTGTTCCAGCTATGACGAGCATAGAAGGCAAAAGCAGTGTTTTTGTTTTTTGCTGTTTTATTACTCTGTGTTCATAAATGGGATCTCCAAGGAAATGTAATCTTGTGTGCAGGCATGGTAGCCCATATTTCTAAGTCTTTAAAAGTGATGTTAGATAACATGATAGTTCATTTAGAATGGCATTGTAAATAAAAGAAGGACAACGTTGTTCCCTTCATGGCCACCCGGCCGTCTCATAGAAAATATAATGATGGGCTCGGAAACTGTCACCTGTAATAAATCTAAGAGGACGGTGATACACAGCATCCAGTACCTTGAGGGTAAGGGCGGTATCATGTGTGTAAATTATATCTGCATAGTCAAGCACTGATTAAAAGATGAAAATGTCGCCTGAAAAATCTGCAGCCTACTATTACAATAAGTGAGGCACTTATTTCTAAAACAAGACCCAATTTAAGTTTAGGTTTCTTAGTCAGTACCTTAGTATGAGTTTTAAAAAAACACAATTTATCATCTAACCAGATACTCAGGTATTTCTAACACATTCCTTTTATTTATTTTTATATTTGAGGTCCAGTTACTACATTAATTGTAAAACTTAAAGGTTTTTTTTTATTTTGGAATCCCGTGAAAGGCATGTAATGAGCCTTATCTAGATTTAATAAAAGCTTGAGGCCTTTTAAATAGCCAAAAGGTCTGACTTTAAATTAGTCAAAGCTTCGTCAGTAGAGAGTACTGTTGAAAAAATAACTGTCATCAGCATTATAATGAACAGTGATGTTTCCAGTCCTGGGTAATTTATTTTGCATACGGTGTGAACAGAATGGGACCTAGAACTGAGCCCTGTGGCACCCCTTAAACAAAGTCGAATTGATGGCTTTCGGTAACTACGGTTTGAGTTCTGCCATGAAAAATACAAAAACAGTTAAATACATTTGTACATTTGCATCAAAACCAATTCATTTAATTATATTCAAACATCATCCAAATTGTTAAGTGCTTTAGGCAAATCAATGAAGAGGGCAATACAACATTTCTTTCTAAATTGTTAATAAGCCATGTATCAAAGGGTGGCATTGACTTATATGGGAACTCATTTACATATTGTAATTTTTTTACTTGAAATATTTTTGTTACATACTAAGAATGTGTGAACCATTATATTTGACCGTTGCAAAAGGTTTAAAAGGTCCCGCACAGATACATATATACAGGTGTTTTCACTTTTTTGTCTGATAAGCTGTCAGTCACTGTGAATGTCTAACCAGCCAGAACTGGAAACACAAGTGTTGTGCTGACGTGTTAAACATATTTATCTTCAGGTATAAAGCACTACATGTATGACAGATTTTCCAGTGACTGAGTCCAAGAAGGAGACAAACAACAGAGTGACAGAGATTTTCAGATCTTGAGAAGAAAAATAAAGTGTTGTGCTCGAGCGCTTGAAGCACCTCTTCAATCTTACTATCATCACCCCAACTGTTGAAGTGGTTAGTGCAGCACATGTGTGTGAGTCTGTCTGTGTGCTGTGATTGGTTGGAGCAGGCAGAGAAGGGTGTACAGGATATGATGGGATAACAGAGCTTGGGAGAGATCGGATCATCATATATACAGACACACTCATGCACAGTCACGCTGTCCCCCGACCTGACGTGCTTTCTCGCTCTCTCACATATATAAAACGCACACAAGAATGCCAAGCATGCCTTTGATGATAAACAACTGAGGGGGGGTTGAGGGAAATTACATCTGTTCCCTTTGTTCCAACTTCAGTGCTTCTGAAATGATCCCATGCTGCCTTACACTGGATAGAAATTCATGTCTTTCAATGTCTTCGCAGCTTTACCGCGCTCTCTTGTTCGCTCACTAGTCTCTATACTTTCATCTTTCTCCATTATTCCCCTCTCTGCGCCACTCCTTACTTCTTTGGCTTCTCTTCTTTAGTTTCCACTCTTCGTTCGATAACTTCATTTGGTTTCTTCTTTTGTCGCGTTTATGGTGCAGATAGTGGTGGTATTTGACAGTTTTCCAATTGTTTTATAAGATATTGTGGAGCTAAATGTGTAGAAAAGGGTTTTCAGCTTTGCTGAGTGCTTGATGTCATAAAGGAGAATTTATAGAGAATTAGGGGGACTTTTATACAAACTGTAGACTAATGGGTGATGGAAACAAAGGGGTAGAGAGGATGAGAGATGGAGGTTGGCCAACTGTGATGCAGATTAAAGGGAGACAATTATGGCCGTTCAAATAAATGACACAGGTTGTTATCAGGGTCTGAAAATCTTATATTCTTAGTTTGATTATCACTGTCATATCACCGATGCAATGGTGTGAGGTGTTGGGTGTACACAGTTATAAAGAGGTACATGTTGATATAGTAGATTATAGTATACTGCAAATTATGTACAAAGCTCACACTTCTTCTTTTTTTTTTTTTTTTTACCAGTCAATGTCAAGAACAGATTTGCAAAAAGGGAAAGTAAGTATAACTTAAAAGGAGCAGAGATCTTCATAAAACCAAGAATTATTATCAAATTAATGGAATGTTGCCTTTCTGTCAACTTAACTTTTAAAATGAAGTTACATATCAAACTGATATGGTTTAAACGATATATTAACAATCCTTCCGCACTTTAAAATGTCAAAAATATCAAACGTTTGTACTCGTTCTGCGTTAATTACTCATCGTGCCCTTTATGTCTTCTCAAATTTGCTACTTCGGATAATTGCCTGTTTGTACAATGAAATTTATCAAAGGGAAAAAAAAAACATTCTCATATTTTAAGCGACGCTATAATGTTTGAATACACATGTGTCAGTGTGACATGTTGGTCATTATCAGCTCTCTGATCAGCCGGCATAAAAGCCCTGTATGCCACTGGGACGCCGCCTGCACGTTGTTAAGGTGAGACGAAGGTGCACCAGTTATAAGGTTTAATTGTATCCATGGCAACAAGTGTCACTGCATAAGCAGCAAATTAATAGGCTGCGAACACAGAAGCAGGTCACCCACAGTTTGACCTACCTACACCAGACACGCTTGCTGTTTTAATACCTGGAAATTGCTTTTTTCAAACGGCTGGTTGAACACAATATTTAGATTTTAGATGTTATTTTACTATTTCTTTTAAAAAAATAAAAATGTAGGTTAAGTTGATAAATAATCAAATGATTTTCAGCAATTAAAGCAATTTTAAGTTGCATCATTATGCTCATACTATATTTTTATACTTCCTCCCCGCCCCCACAAACGTGCTGCATCTCTGTGCTTAAAAACCATAATAATACTCTTTAAGCTGTGAATGTGTTTGGCCCTAGTCCTGCTCTAGAAATAGATGCTATCCACAAACAAAATCTACATAAGGACATTTCTTAGAGTCGGCAGATGATGATAGTGATACATCATCCTGACAACAGATTTAGTCTGCTGGCATAAGTAGGCCACAGGTTGAAGTCAGCTGTGATATGCTCACATCCTTTTGAAATTCCATTTGCGTGAGAGTGATCGCGTTTGTATAGAAAATTACATTTGTACTCTCTGTTTCTGTCTGACTCCCCTTTCTCACACATGCTGGCTCTAGTATTTCCTGACTCATCTACGAAATAATTAAATTTTCTGTTGATCGTATGTTAATCAAAATGGAAATGAGCATGTAAATTCCACAGCACGGTGGATCACGACTCCTTTATAGCCTCTAGCTCTGGCACAGACGCACACACACACACATACACACACGCTCAGACACATACTGCCTTTTATTGCACAGTCCTAGATGAGTCATAATATGGCATTGCATTTAATTATCATACATTTTCAAAACCCAGAATTATCATCCACAACCAACATTTTTGGTGATTATGCTGGGAACATAACATCTATATTTATCTGCCTCCTTCTCCTCCTACTACTTCTCCATTGTGCTTTCTTCTTTCATCCTCTTTTCTTTGTCGTTGCCCAACATTGTACTTCTGCTCTCTTTCATCTTTGGGTTGGGGAGGGGGGGAGGGGAGTGGGAAAACATTTACGAGAAGCGGATTCTGAGAGAACCGGAGAGTGGAGGAGTGAGGGATGGGTAGATGAACAGACAAATGTATGAGTTCTCATTTTCTGACTGAATGCTGAAGAAAGGAGCAGTGACAGCGTAATCATGAGAAAGCACTGCAGGCTTCAAAACACAGCTGACAGACAACGCTGAAAGATGATGCACCTGACCAGGGGGAGTGTGTGTGTGTGTGTGTGTACGTGCAGGTGTGTATCTCCGATATCTGAGCATGTGTTTACCTGATTGTGTATTTATTAGGAGTCTCATCTAACAGATGTCAAGGCGTGGCAGACAAAATTCATATCTGTCAGAAACACAAACTCTTTGAGCTTATTCGGACCCAAAAGCAGATTATTATTATTATTTTTAATGGCATTCCTTCTTATGTCAAACAAATGGTCTGTCTGGCTATGCATCTGTTGATTGACAGGGCACTGGGATCATACATTTATTTAAATAAAACAGTGCTATTTCACATAACTGAAGCATATTCATATCTGGGAAGTTCCCATAATCCCAGTTTAGTATAGCTTAATTTTTCTCCCCATTGATTTTGCCAAATTGTATTCTGCTGTTGTGCCTATAAAGGGAATTTAAGAGTGCAGTTTTACTCCCATTTATCTCACATTACGTGGTATATGGCTCGCTGCAGAGGAACATTTGATGGAGAGAAAAGAAAAAATTAGATTCAGGCATTTGGAAAGTAAAAGACTCCTTTTAAAAATCAAGTTTTCTTGTTTTGTTTTTTGTCTAGTATAAATGGGTACCAAGTCATTAAACATACTATAACTTCTATTGCTTTATGCAAACCCTGCTTGGACAGCAATAATAACCTAAAGAGTTGACACTTCAAATGCACAAATAGATTTTGTACAATAGAAATTAAAGTCAATTGTTCACTCCAATAGACAGGCTGCAGAAACATTCACAACATATGAATGCCTGACCTCACTGGCTGGAGATTCCAGTGACCGACAGATCAATGTCAGTGTTAAACAGTGGACTTGGATCAAGCCCAACTTGCCAACTTTTTCTGCTGTCTTCAGTAAAATGGTTACCACTTCTTAAAGTACTTTGCAGGTATAGACAGTGTGTCAGGTATGTTACTCAGGGCTGCCAAATCTTATTTACGACTCACAAAAGCTCTGCTTGACAGCCGGCTCCATGTTGTGTAAGCTATTGATTGTTCCTACACTTCTTCTTTTTTGTTTATTTTTTTTTTGCTAAAGTTAAGAAATATAACTTGTTGAGTGTTATATGAATACCGCGCTTTGTGCTGTTTTTGGAAAAGAAGAGGCAAATGTTCCTCATAAATTATGAAATGATCCGAGCAGCCCCTGCTACTTGCCTCGAGCTCTGACGTCTTTGGAAGTCTGCAAAAATACCTCCACCTACTTTATTGTGTTACGGAAAAGCAAAGCAAAACTGATTTTATTATTCTCAACCTGCAAGACACTGTTGAAAGCTGAGGTGGCCTAAATGTCAGTAAATGGGATTCAATAAATGCACCTTTATAGTCCCTCTGCAATCACTGATCATTGGTCATTACCCCTAAACACACGTCTCTCTGTGTTAAAACCACCAATTTAGAACTTTTTCTTTTTTTTCCCCCAATGAAAACAATCCCTTCATGCCTCATAAATGGCTTAGATGTAGCCCTACGTTGTTGCTTCCTCTAGAAAATGCAAATCTATGAAGTAGATTTCTTATGTTTGTTACA